CACATCTTCATTGAAGCAGCAACATTTTGTTATTAAAGGTGCTACAGAATATATGATTACACGTGATCGACAAAATTCTAAATGATCAATTATCAATCGATTAGTCATGCCCACCCCTAGTTCCTACACCAGGCACCCTTTTCCTTCTATCCCCCGCCCTCCTCCCACCATACACCTACTCACTATTGCACAGAAGTATTACGAGAAAGGACCGACCAGGGCTACGTGGTTAGCATGTTGCCTTCAGTATTAGAAAACATGTGATAGAAACAAGAGTTGACGTTGTTGCTTTCCACAACTGGAGTGGTGGGTGAAGGAATAAAGGTTCATGATGAACTAGCAACATTTCTACTAGATAGCTACTACCGTCTATGAAGGGATAGCAAAACTTGCACATATCACCTTTAATATAAATGAGAGTTGTTTTTCACTGTTTGTATTTGACAGTTTTAACCTGCAGCCTGTTGGTCCAGGTGTTTCAGTTTCCATTTTCTAAACTTCTACTTTCTAAACCTTCTTCAGATCTGAACAGATGATGAAACATTGAACGGTCTCAAACCTCCTAAACACACATCTTTCATTCTTTATTCAGATTGATGGACTGCAGTTTGTCAGACATCAGCTGTGCTTCTCTGGCCTCAGCTCTGAAGTCCAACCCCTCCCATCTGAGAGAACTGGACCTGCGCTTCAACAAGCTGCAGGATTCAGGAATGAAGCTGCTGTGTGGTTTTCTGGAGAGTCCACGCTGTAGACTGGAGACTCTGAGGTCAGTTCACTGTCTGTCTGTTACTGTTGTAGAGCTTATATCTTTACTCCACAGCTGAACAGTATGGTTCTTTAAGGTTTCCCACATTCACTCTATAAGTCTGAGAAGTTATTTTTAAGTTTCTGTAAAAATGCCACAGAACCTTTTCTGACTGAAAAGTGAAAAAACATTTAAGTCAAACTTTAGCTAATTTACAGTATAAACACGACCTTATTGTGACCAGTAGTCCTCATAGGGACCAAAGCCGAGTCCTGGTCAAAACGTCATTTCTGAGGTACTAGTCAAGTTTAGGGTGTCCATAATTAACGAAGTTTGTTTTTTAAGTGTCAGTCCAATAATTACACATTTTTTTTGCTGACCATGTTCAGGAACATACATGATCAGGTGTCTGAATGCTGTGGTGACATTTGGATGATTTCTGTAGAAGGGTGACATTATGATGATCCACAATCACTATTTGACTAATCGAGACACTATTCATTTTAGAGAAAAGTTAATTGATTTAAACATATCTGATTGATTATCAATTATTTGTATCCGCATGATTTCTCCTTTAATCAGATTGTGGGACTGCAGTTTGTCAGACATCAGCTTTACTTCTCTGGCCTCAGCTCTGAAGTCCAACCCCTCCCATCTGACTGAACTGGAGCTCAATGACAACAAGCTGCAGGATTCAGGAGTGAAGGAGCTGTGTGGTTTTCTGGAGAGTCCACGCTGTAGACTGGAGACTCTGAGGTCAGACTCAATTTTTTATTTCTGTGCTGAGATTAAAACAATGTAAAAGTTGTGGTGACACTAAACTGCAGACATAAGGCTGATATCATACTGATCCACACTGAGGATCTTAATGGTGGTTTAGTCCAGTGACTTTATTTTATCTGAAAACAACAACACAGATAAATTTGATCTATCAAACAATCACTAATATATAATCAATAGCTGATGGTTCCATCACTTTAAAAAGGCTCTGTAATGTTTGTACTGACTGAAATATTCAAACCAAAGGCGACATAATAACCAGTTCTGTATCTGTTTGTTTCAACACTTTAAATAAGTTTTCATACATTAAATGCTCAAATTCAGTACACCATGTTTTTGTGGCTCTGACATTTCACACAATAGTTAATTCTGTAAATATGTATAAAGTTTGTCACTTTTCCCCCAAAGTTCAGCCTGACATGTTTGTTGTCTTTGAAAACTTGAGGATCTTTCTTTCTGCACAACATGAGTTTGAACAGATGGAGCCACTGGTGGAGCTGGTAGAGTTCAAGAGGTGGAGACACCACGTCTTTACTGAAGCAGCAACATTTTGTCTTTTATATTAATGAGAGCTGTTTCTCATTGTTTGTATTTGACTGTTTTAACTTGCAGCCTGTTGGTTCAGGTGTTTGAGTTTCCATTTTCTAAACTTCTACTTTCTAAACCTTCTTCAGCTCTGAACATATGATGAAACACTGAGTGGTTTCAAGTAGGAACTTTGTCTTCTAATGTTACATCCTTTATTCTTTACTCAGGTTGAGTGGCTGCAGTTTGTCAGACATCAGCTGTGCTTCTCTGGTCTCAGCTCTGAAGTCCAACCCCTCCCATCTGAGAGAACTCGACTTGTGTAACAACTACCTGCAGGATTCAGGAATGAAGCTGCTGTGTGGTTTTCTGGAGAGTCCACGCTGTAGACTGGAGAATCTGAGGTCAGTTCACTGTCTGTCTGTTACTGTTGTAGAGCTTATATCTTTACTCCACCACTGAACGTTATGGTTCTTGAAGCCTTCCCTCATTCACTTGATATAGTCTATTACAGCTTTTCTCGAAGTATGGTCTACGGACAGCCACTGGTCCATAAGTGAACCCTAGTGGTCCATAAATAAATTTGTTAAAATATCATGTTTTAAATGTAGCCTTTCGCAAACTTTCTGAGTCACCACACAGCCTAGTTGTGAGTAGTGTATATGTGTTCTTTTCAATATTAAATCAACTCATCTGGATATTCAAACATTATTTGAAATGGTTGTCTTACAGTGTTGTCGGACTTCACCTTAACGGACCATTTTGGACTCTGTCTACCCATGTAGTTTCTCCAGTTTACAGTTTATGTTTTATGGTTTTTGAGGAGTTAGGTGGTCTGTGAGTTTTATTTTAGTGTTAAGTGGTCCTCAGTCTGAAAAAGTTGCACCTGTAACTGGAGGTATGGTTTCCTGTCTCTGCTATGTATATGTGTCTGTGTGTTTGTATGCATTTTGTTATCTCTTTGGGACAATTTACAGTATAAACACGACCTTATTGTGACCAGTAGTCCTCATAGGGACCAAAGCCGAGTCCTGGTCAAAACGTCATTTCTGAGGTACTAGTCAAGTTTAGGGTGTCCATAATTAACGGAACTCAATGCAATGTCCTCACAAGTATGACTGCACAAACTTGTGTGTTTGTGTAAATTGTTTTACACTTGTTATTGACTGAAAAAATTAAACCCATCAGATTACATTGTGTGGGTTTTTTCATGGATTGTAATTTCCTTGTTAAATGTGTTAATGATTAAAACACTAAATGACCACACTGTTGGTTTTATAAGGTTTAGGTCATTAATTGTGAACTGCATTTGTGTGACATTTCTACTGATAAATTTCTTGAACACAATTCCTTGTAGAGTTTAATTTACTTTAAATGTTTAAAAGGAGGAAAATTCTTAAAGGACCATACTGTTGGTTTACAGTAATAAGTTTCACTCCTTCAGCTGCAAATTGTATTTATTTTACATTTGTGACACACATGAACAGTGTATGAATGCTGTGTTGACATGTGGGTGATGTCTGTAGAAGGCTGACATTATGATGATCCACAACAACAGAGGAACAAAGTCACTTCATTTAGAGAAAAGATCATTGATGAGGATATCTGATTGATTATCTATGATTTGTATCTACATGATTTCTTCTTTATTCAGGTTGAGTGACTGCAGTTTGTCAGAGATCAGCTTTACTTCTCTGGCCTCAGCTCTGAAGTCCAACCCCTCCCATCTGACTGAACTGGAGCTCAGTGAAAACAAGCTGCAGGATTCAGGAGTGAAGCTGCTGTGTGGTTTTCTGGAGAGTCCACACTGTAGACTGGAGAATCTGAGGTCAGACTCAATTTTTGTGCCGAGATTAACACGATGTAAAAGTTGTGGTGACATACTGATCCACAATGAGGATCTTAATGGTAAAGTCTGTTTCTTCTCCAGTGGTTTAGTCCAGTGACTTTATTTTGTCTTTATCTTTTCCCCTTTTCAGTTTTTAAAATAACACAAACAGTACACAATAGTAAATGTTGACATGTTTGTTGTCTTTGAAAACTTGAGGATCTTTCTTTCTGCACAACATGAGTTTGAACAGATGGAGCCACTGGTGGAGCTGGTAGAGTTCAAGAGGTGGAGACACCACGTCTTTACTGAAGCAGCAGTTTATCTGTGTTTAGCTGCACTTCACTGTTATTGGGGGGCTCAGGCAAATCCTTGAAAATAAGGAGTGGGAGGTTTGTTTTATCTTTGTATGCTGCCTTTTATTGTCTGAACAGGATAAGAATATGTACTGGTCAGTCACACAGGTGGCTTTCACACAGTACACTATAAAAGAACAGCTAATTATTTTAGCCAGGAGGCCAACTACCTATCTTACAGAGTACGATATGCCATTATTTGAATATTTCAGCACTTAAAAAGTATAACTCATAACTCTTCTCATGAACATTTTTATAAATCATATTGCACATACAGTATACGTTGATATGTTGGACATACAGATATTATTACACATCATTTGCACATCATGCTGTGCTCGGCAACTCACCTCGAGAACATCTCTCAAGAACAGGCAATGTTCCAAAGCTGCCAGTTGCATTTATTTACTCCCCCCAAGAGAGGGTGCCCTTGAGCCAATAAATCCATACATAGATATAGGACATAAAACTAAAATTATGGCAATCATAGCAAGTGGAATCACATCCTATATCAGCTCTGTTACAGCACCATGTTGCCATTAATATTAATGATTATATATGAATAATAACAGATAATATTAATATTAATTTTCTCACTGTATTTTAATGTTGTAACCTGCAGCCTGTGGGTTCAGGTATTTGGAGTTTCCATTTTCTAAACTTCTACTTTCTAAACCCTCTTCAGATCTGAACAGATGATGAAGCAATGAACGGTTTCAAGCAGAAAACTTTTCTTTTAAAGTTGCATCTTTCATTCTTTATTCAGATTGATGGACTGCAGTTTGTCAGACATCAGCTGTGCTTCTCTGGCCTCAGCTCTGAAGTCCAACCCCTCCCATCTGAGAGAACTAGACCTGCGCTTCAACAAGCTGCAGGATTCAGGAGTGAAGGATCTGTGTGGTTTTCTGGAGAGTCCACACTGTAGACTGGAGAATCTGGGGTCTGTTCACTGTCTATTACTATTTTAGATATTTTTATGTCTTTAATCCACAACACAAGCCTTACCTCATTAACTAACAAATAATTTGGAAGTCAAGAAAAATGCCTCCAAAAAATTCTGACTGGCTAAAAAGGAAAATTAACTAGAAAATTCCAGGGAAATTTTGAGTGCCACGGGGGCTACTGCCGGAATGAGTACATGATTTATTTCCAGTGTTCAAAAGTCACCCTGATCATATTCTGGTTTTGAGAAATGTCTTGATATAAAAGACAACTTTGGGAAAAATTGGAATTTTAACACCAAAAGTCATAGCACCTCTTTCGGGATCAAGACGCACGTTTTGATGTATATATTACTGGGGTTTTCTCTCAGCTATTCTAGCTGTAGAGGAGTGCCTCGGAGCTGAGCACCCGTGGCACTAATTACATTTAGTTAGGTCTTAAATATGTAAGTCCATTTACTGCTTCCTTTGTTGCTTTTCTTTTTGTTTTGTTAAATGAGTGAATGAAGTTGTGACGGTCTCCACTGAGACAGAGGAGAGGAGAAGCTACTAGCCCTCTCTCGCTGTCACTTCTAGTCGCCTTGCTCTCCTCCCCAGTAATGTTAAATTTAGCACAAAAAAAAACATAATAGTGGTAATTTAAATAGCGGTTCATGGGATTTATTAACCCTCAGGGGTCCCTCTGTCCTTTTTTGGACATTTTCTTCACTTTTCTTTTTTGATTTGCTGATCATTTTGGCTGTGTTACAGCTGAAGGTATGGATTTCTGCAAGAAAGTGTCTTTTTTGACATATTTTTAAAATCTAATGTCAGTTACTGTTACAGGTCTATTATACACTGGTAACACATTTTGTACCCTCTGGGGTTCCTCACATCCAAAAAAGGACACACAAAGAAAATGCTATAAAATCATCATATATCAATATTTTTTTCTGCTTTTTTTTGCATACATCTCTTAAACCACTTCAGTTCTGCTCAAACCTACCAAATGTTTATTAGTTTTCAGGATTTTAACCCTTTAAATGCCAGTTTGAAGACATGTTGCCTCTTGTTTTATTAAAAAAAACAACACAGAATATGAGATATTTCCCACATAATACATGATGGAGGGATGTGACATTGTTTTATATCAGAGTCTTTTATATTAAGACATTTCTCAAAACCAGAATATGATCAGGGTGACTTTTGAACACTGGAAATAAATCATGTACTCATCCCGGCAGTAGCCCCCGTGGCACTCAAAATTTCCCTGGAATTTTCTAGTTGTTATGTCAAAATCTAGGCAAGTTTACAACATTCTTTACATACCCACCCACCCACCCACCGACCAACACACACACACACACCCTCAAAATATCCTCAGCCAGATGGGTCTGTAACTCAAATTAGTCATCAAAAAGATAGAAATCAACACAAACACACACACACACACACACACACACACACACACACACACACACACACACACACACACACACACACACACACACACACACAGTCAGTTCACTGTCTGTCTGTTACTGTTGTAGATCTTATATCTTTACTCCACAGCTGCACGTTATGGATTTTTAGCCCTTTCCTCATTAAATTTCATAAGTCTAACAAGCATTTTTCAATGGACCACAACAATGGGGCCAGCCGTATCAATGTGAATGACCGAGTTCTGAAGTTTCACTATTGGGTGTTGGAGTTTCACCATTACAAAATGAATTGGCACAAAGTTTCTGTTATGACATCAGGGGGTGTTTACAGACAGTGTTGTCAACTTAGTGCCTTTGCCTCTAGATTTACCAACTTTTCTGACCTTTTTAGTGACTACTTTTCAAAAAAGCTGCTAGCAACAAATCTTGCAACTTTTTGGACAAACCTTATGACGTTGTGGTTATAAAATCAAGATTTAAGCAGCAGTCGAGCAGCAGCTTGGAAGTTAACAAGTGGTCTTGATGGGCTGCGTTTCAGTCACTATTTCAAATTTGTTCCGTTGTCTGACAACAGAAACAAAAAACATCATTATTACTATTATTAAAGGGGACCTATTATGCTTTTGTGAGTTTTTCCATACTTATACTTATAAAGGTTTTTTGCATGTAAATGGTCTCCAGAGTCACAAGAATCAAAGTTTACATCAAAGGGAGGAACTCATCAATATTTCTCTTGTTGCTGTCCACCTGCAAGCTTGGCATGCCTCCACACAAGGCACAGCACATAACTACTTATGATGAAGAGTTTTCATTAGTTTTGTAGCCATGCAGAAAAAGAGTGTTCTTTTCTACTTAATTTTTCCACGGTTCTCCACTGCTCCAAACATTATAATGTGAGCCCTCTCTTCAAGGAGGACTGCTTCAGAAACCACGCACAGTTAGATGCTTCATTTTCACAATGGCTATTTCTGTAATTAACACTTGATGTGGATGAACAGGGGACTAAGCCTCACAGCCTGTCGGTCTGCATTGTTATTGTGGATGTTAACTGCATTACTGCAACCATATCGCGACCAGATCCCGTTAGTAAGAAGCAGCATAGCAAAGATATAAATGCTTAAACGTTTGTCAGTGTTGACATGCTGTACCTCATTAGCCCAAATAAATTATCCACAGTTTATCACTGAGTTAATTTTTCAGTAACTATTCCCACTAGTGTTAAATTCATTCAGATTTACCAGCATCATAAACCAGCAATAAGTGAAGCGGTGGAGACTCCCTACCTTTCAACCATCTGTCTGTTCCTCCATTATTTGTATTCCTTTAGTCCGGAAGTGTCCACACTTAAAAAATCAAAAGGGTGTCATATAAAAATATTCCAAGTTATGAATAGTGTCATCCGAAGTTTGTTTACACAAGACATGCAGAATGTGTCATTGCCATGGTAGTTGCTGGCAAGCTGACCAATCAGAGCACAATGGGCTCCAGCTCCAGTGGGAGGAGGGGGGCCTTAAAGAGCCCTGAGCTCTAACGGAGCGTTTCAGACAGAGGGTGAAGAAAGTGCAGTATAAAATATACAGCAGAAGAAAAAAAAAGTCTTTTCAGAACATTTAAGCATTTAATTCTGTTTTAGTCGACACCAAGAATGAAATGATTAAAACTTAAAAGGGCCATAATAGGTCCTCTTTAAATCATTTATTTAAACAGGTAGTCTCATTGAGTTCAGGATCTCTTTTTTAAGAGAGATCTGTATACAAAAGTAAATAATTCACTGACATACATTGTACATTTTAACAACCTTTCAAAATGCACCAGTGAAATATTAGAGTGTAACGTCATATGTTTTTGGAGCTCATTCCATCTGTATGCAGTGTAGTATTTAAAACCAGGTTTTACGAGTTGAGTGTGAGCAAGAGGAACAGGTGAGGTCCGGCTAAATTAACCAAGAAGTGAGGACCACCATTTCTTCTACACTTACAGACCATTGCATGACACATTTTATCACTAGATGGCTCCCTGACTCCATTTTCCACCTCAGTTTCCTCAAAATACAAAAAGGAAAAAAACTGGCTTTTTGCCATTGAAGTGAGAACCTTTTCATGGGGGCGCAATTGGGTTCATGTCTGGCAAGACTATTCTAAGTACCTTCTTTGTTTTGCCTGTTGCCTGTAGCCATTCTTCGCTAGCCATTATATGTTTTAGCATAGACAAATAATGTAATAATATGTCAATTATTAGGTATTCTGCTTGTCATGAGCCTCAAACTCAATACCTATTAAAATATTTTCAAATTGAATGTGTGACCATCGATAAGACTACTGCACCAATGCACAGATGTACCTCTGAAATAACTTAAGCAATACATATCAATATCAATTATAGTTGTACATTAAAGCTGCAGGTGCAAACTCCAGTGACCAGAACTAGATTTATTTAGTTATACTGCTTATTGTCTTATTGCTATGTAATACTACTGATAGTACTGCACAACCCAAGCAGCATCAACCAGCATCAAAACATACCAACTTTTCAAACTGTGTTTGAACGAGACATTATTAACTTCAACACAGCATTTTACTGTGCAATGAAAATCTTCAAAAGCCAAATTGTCATGTAGCAGACCTTTGTTTCAAAGTAACAATTGTGTTGTAAACAACATTTTTTGAACATCTTTCCAGGATCGTCGGCTCAAAGCTTTCTCCTCTTCTATGTACTTCAGGCTGTATGAATGTACCTCAGGTCGAGATCATTTTTATTTATATAGCCCCAAATTGCAACAGAAGTTATCTCAAGGCACTTAAACTTTAATTTAACAAATGTTCTTTGCTTCAAACCAATCAGAACATATTCTGTGGAAATTCTTCATGGAGTTGAATTTACCTGTTAAATGTGTTTAGGAGGAAAAGGGCCACACTGCAAATTGTATTTATTTTACATTTCTGCTGTCTATTTCCTGAACATATATGAACAAATGTATGAATGCTGTGGTGACATGTGGGTGATGTCTGTAGAAGCTGACATTATGATGATCCACAATAACAGAGGAACAAAGTCACTTCATTTTAGAGAAAAGTTAATTGATTTGGACATATCTCATTGATTATCAATGATTTGCATCTACATGATTTATTCTCTATTCAGATTGAATGACTGCAGTTTGTCAGAGAGCAGCTTTACTTCTCTGGCCTCAGCTCTGAAGTCCAACCCCTCCCATCTGACTGAACTGGAGCTCAATGACAACAAGCTGCAGGATTCAGGAGTGAAGGAGCTGTGTGGTTTTCTGGAGAGTCCACACTGTAGACTGGAGACTCTGGGGTTAGACTCAATTTTTTATTTCTGTGCTGAAATTAAAATGATGTAAAAGTTGTGGTGACACTAAACTGCAGACATAAGGCTGATATCATACTGATCCATTAATGGTAAAGTCTGTTTTCTTCTTCAGTGGTTTAGTTCAGTGACTTTATTTTATCTGAAAACAACAACACTAATAACAACAATAACAGATATATAATCAGTAGGTAGTGGTTCCATCACTTTAAAAAGGCTCTAATGTTTGTACTGACTGAAATAATCAAACCAATATAATATATATCAATAACAATATATATCATAATAACAAGTTCTGTATCTGTTTGTTTCAACACTTTAAATAAGTTTTGATACATTCAATGTTTAAATTCAGTACACCATGTTTGTGTGGCTCTGACATTTCACACAATAGTTAATTCTGTAAATATGTGTATAAAACTTCAGCCAGAGTTCAGCTTGACATGTTTGTTATCTATGAAAACTTGAGGATCTTTAGTAGAATCTCAAATACATTTGGCTGCACAGGTTTGTATAGCTTTTATATAGCTTTCTGCATTGTTGTATTTGACAGTTTTAACCTGCAACCTGTTGGTTCAGGTGTTTGAGTTTCCATTTTCTAAACTTCTACTTTCTAAACCTTCTTCAGCTCTGAACAGATGATGAAACACTGAACGGGTTTAAGCAGGAACTTTGTCTTCTAATGTTACATCCTTTATTCTTTACTCAGGTTGAGTGGCTGCAGTTTGTCAGACATCAGCTGTGCTTCTCTGGTCTCAGCTCTGAAGTCCAACCCCTCCCATCTGAGAGAACTGGGCCTGAGTGAAAACAAGCTGCAGGATTCAGGAGTGAAGGATCTGTGTGGTTTTCTGGAGAGTCCACGCTGTAGACTGGAGACTCTGAGGTCAGTTCATTGTCTGTCTGTTATGTTGTTGCTATCCATCTATCCATCCATCCTCTACTCATCTCTAAGCTTCCCTCAGTTGACAAGTCCCCATTACATGACAGATTTAGGTCCCCACAGCATGAGTAATACCTGGGGTGCACAGACATACACACAGACAAACAAACACACACACTGTGGCATTGCTTCATTGAGTGTAATTTACTTGTTAAATGTGTTAAGGAGGAAAATTCTTAAAGGACCACATTGTTGATTTAAGAAGTGTCACTCCTTTAACAGCAAATTGTATTTATTTGACATTTGTGCTAATAATTTTCCTGAACATACTGTACATCAACAGAGTGTGAATGCTGTGGTGACATGTGGGTGATGTCTGTAGAAGGCTGACATTATGATGATCCACAATAACAGAGGAACAAAGTCACTTCATTTCAGAGAAAAGGTCATTGATTAGGATATCTCATTGATTATCAACTATCTTTATCTACATGATTTATTCTCTATTCAGATTGAAGGACTGCAGTTTGTCAGAGATCAGCTTCACTTCTCTGGCCTCAGCTCTGAAGTCCAACCCCTCCCATCTGAAAAAAATGGTGCTCAGTGAAAACAAGCTGCAGGATTCAGGAGTGAAGCTGCTGTGTGGTTTTCTGGAGAGTCCACACTGTAGACTGCAGAATCTGAGGTCAGTTCTCTGTCTGTCTGTTACTGTTGTAGATCTTATATCTTTAATCCACAACTGAGCATTATGGTTCTGTAAGCCCTCCCTCATTCACTTTAAGTATTTTTTAATTCTGTAAAAAAGAAATCCACATAAAATTTGGTGACTGGATAAAAGTTAAGATTTTTTCATTTACATAGTGCCTTCCCCTAACCCTAACCATCATAACTATTTGCCTAACATGTGTCCTAAATCCGTAAAATCCATAACTCAAACTTGTCCTCGGAAAGGGTGTGTGTGTGTGTGTGTGTGTGTGTGTGTGTGTGTGTGTGTGTGTGTGTGTGTGTGTGTGTGTGTGTGTGTGTGTGTGTGTGTGTGTGTGTGTGTTGATTTCTTTTTGATGACTAGTTTGAGTTATAGACCCATCTGGCTGAGGACATTTTGAGGGGTTCAAAGGGCTATGTCAGGGTTGAGACCTAGTTTTAGACTTCAGCTTAGGAGCTGAGAAATGCATTATTTCAACAAGTGTGCTCACAAAAATAGAAGTCCAAGTGTTTATGTGTGTGTGTTTTTCTGTGTATGTGTATTTAAGTGTTTGTGTGTGAAAGTTATTTTCAACTTACCTAAAGTAAAGTGTGACTTAATTCTTTTTCATTTTAAACCAGTCAGAACATATTTCATGGTGTGTTTCCTTGTAGAGTTTAATTTACTTTAAATGTTTAAAAGGAGGAAAATTCTTAAAGGACCATACTGTTGGTTTACAGTAATAAGTTTCACTCCTTCAGCTGCAAATTGTATTTATTTTACATTTGTGACACACATGAACAGTGTATGAATGCTGTGTTGACATGTGGGTGATGTCTGTAGAAGGCTGACATTATGATGATCCACAACAACAGAGGAACAAAGTCACTTCATTTAGAGAAAAGATCATTGATGAGGATATCTGATTGATTATCTATGATTTGCATCTACATGATTTTTTCTTTATACAGATTACGCTACTGCAGTTTGTCAGAGATGAGCTTTACTTCTCTGGCCTCAGCTCTGAAGTCCAACCCCTCCCATCTGACTGAACTCGACCTGAGCCACAGCAAGCTGCAGGATTCAGGAGTGAAGCTGCTGTGTGGTTTTCTGGAGAGTCCACACTGTAGACTGGAGACTCTGAGGTCAGTTCACTGTCTGTTACTGTTGTTGAGCTTATATTGAATTCACAACTGAACATTATGGTTTTAAAGCCTTCCCTTATTAACTTTTTTGGGTTTAACAAAGAAATTATTTTTGTCTTGTCTCGGTTGGTTTTTGTCTTCTTTCATTCAGGTTGAGTGACTGTAGTTTGTCAGAGAGCAGCTTCACTTCTCTGGCCTCAGCTCTGAAGTCCAACCCCTCCCATCTGAGAGAACTGGAGCTGAGTAACAACAAGCTGCAGGATTCAGGAGTGAAGCTGCTGTGTGGTTTTCTGGAGAGTCCACACTGTAGACTGGAGAATCTGAGGTCAGACACAATAATTTATTTCTGTGCTGAGATTAAAACAATGTAAAAGTTGTGACGACACTAAACTGCAGACATAATGCTGATATCATACTGATCCACACTGAGGATCTTAATGGTAAAGTTTGTTTTCTTCTTCAGTGGTTTAGTCCAGTGACTTTATTTTGTCTTTAAATTTCCCCTTTTCAGTTTTTAAAATAACACAGACGCATTTGATCTATCAAACAATCACTAATATATAATCAATAGCTGATGGTTCCATCACTTTAAAAAGGCTCTGTAATGTTTGTACTGACTGAAATATTCAAACCAAAGGCGACATAATAACCAGTTCTGTATCTGTTTGTTTCAACACTTTAAATAAGTTTTCATACATTAAATGCTCAAATTCAGTACACCATGTTTTTGTGGCTCTGACATTTCACACAATAGTTAATTCTGTAAATATGTATAAAGTTTGTCACTTTTCCCCCAAAGTTCAGCCTGACATGTTTGTTGTCTTTGAAAACTTGAGGATCTTTCTTTCTGCACAACATGAGTTTGAACAGATGGAGCCACTGGTGGAGCTGGTAGAGTTCAAGAGGTGGAGACACCACGTCTTTACTGAAGCAGCAACATTTTGTCTTTTATATTAATGAGAGCTGTTTCTCATTGTTTGTATTTGACTGTTTTAACTTGCAGCCTGTTGGTCCAGGTGTTTGAGTTTCCATTTTCTAAACTTCTACTTTCTAAACCTTCTTCAGCTCTGAACATATGATGAAACATTGAATGGTCTCAAACCTCCTAAACACACATCTTTCATTCTTTACTCAGGTTGAGTGGCTGCAGTTTGTCAGACATCAGCTGTGCTTCTCTGGTCTCAGCTCTGAAGTCCAACCCCTCCCATCTGAGAGAACTCGACCTGCGCTTGAACAACCTGCAGGATTCAGGAATGAAGCTGCTGTGTGGTTTTCTGGAGAGTCCACACTGTAGACTGGAGACTCTTGGGTCAGTTCACTGTTTGTCTGTTACTGTTGTATTGTTTTTCTCTAAGACTAAGAGTTGTTCCTTCAGTTTCATTAGTTATAGTTCGTTTCAGTGAGTTGTTCTGAATAATGTCTGTTCACTGGAGACAGATGTGCTCTGCCCAGCTGCAGGGTAAGCAGAAGTCTTGGCAGAGGGATCAGCGAATGGCTGGGTTCTTACCCCTGCGAGAAAAGATGGTGGAGAACAAGAGTTTGCAGCCTGTTGTTAATGCACAGTTTTTTCTAGTGTCACAGCCTGGTTCAATGACTGGATAGGAAAAGTGGAAACAACATGAGCTGGCAGATGAGCTGGTGATCCCACCAACATGCATTATGTTCCTGTATATCAAGTGTAAACCAGACCATGAAAATGTAATGTAAATCAAATGGTGATTGTCACTCAAGGGTTACTTCCTGTATCCAGAGGGTGACGCAATGACAATGATGTCATCGTAGAATTCAGATGTTTTCAGTGTGGGACTGTCATCAAATACATTAAGTCTGAGGCACATTGGACAAAGTATATTATAGTTAGCTGCTAGAACCACACCATTCAATGGCGGTGTTAAGCATTTTCTTACATTACTAAGTTTGGGACATATTGGACAATGTATAAAACTTCCTCTTGCAAAATTCGCCAAGCCACCAGAGCCACACCCTTAAATGAAAACTCCCCAATTTTAACAATAAAGCCTCATCAAGATCTAAAGTGTCGTCAACTTGCTAGGAGTACATGATTATCACTGAATATTGGCATGTGAATGTCTTCAGCCAGGACTTTTATCAAACATATAAAATCTGGGCCTGTTTGGACAATGCATGCTGGAGTTATAGCAACTTCTGATCTTTCTAAAAGATTTCCTCCTACTTTATGAGCACTTTCATCATGGGTGAAGGATGAAAGAAAGGATGTTTTCTGTCTTTTCATCTTTACTAAAAAAAACATTGAATCCAATGAACAGCTCAGAGGCTACCTGCAAATACTGGCAACTTTTAGATGTTAGAAATATCCAATTTTATATGATGAGAAGAGTGAATAAATCTTCAGTTCGTTATGAAACTGTGGTGGACAAAACAAAATCACTTCCTAACAGTGATACATTGCTGTCAGACTCAAAAGCTGAGAGGTCAGACTGCAACCTACTCCAGCTTCCACCTGCTCACAGGAGCAACACAAGGAGAAACAACACTGGGAGAACTGACAGGATCAACATTTCTGACAAGAGCAGCAAGTACCACAGGCTGGACCTGTGCACTATTGAAGACACTTTGGCACTGGACTTAACAGGACAGTCAACGTTTCAGTAGTTGCTGTAATTTTGCTTGGATCAAACTGTAGCTGACCTCTTGCAGCCCTTCCCAGCTTACCATGGTGAGGACCACCTTTCTCCCATTGTTTACCTACCTCTCGACCGGTTGGGTTGGAGAGAGAGAGAGAGAGAGAGAGAGAGAGGAAAAGAACAAGAACGTACAGTGATAGCAATATTAATAATAGTGATAGTAGTGGCAGTAACAGCAATAGTAATGTAATGGCAACTGTAGTGCTCCTACTGATAAAAATAGTAATGACAGCTAATAATAATAATTATTATTATTAATTATAGTAAATTTTAGCAGGTTTAGCAGCAGGTGTTGAACAGGATCATGGGGCAGTAGGTGGTTTGCAGTTGCAGTTCCTGTTGGAGAGTAACAGGAAGGAGATAGAGAAGGAGAAGGGAGAGAGAGCGGCACACAGCCTGGGTGCTTCATGTGCTTGAAGGAAAACACAAATGGTTAGAATGATGCAGTGATTTTCAGAAAGTTTACAGGGATCTTGTCGGCAGGACAACCCAGACTATACTGTACTGAGTTTACTGATTTATTGAGACTGAGGCCCACCCACTGGTGGTAAGATGGCAACAGGTACAGAGCCTGAATTTGTAAAAGAATAAGAAACTAAATGAAAGTTAAGACATAAAAATACGTTTTAAGTTTAGATTTGAAAGTCTGAACGGAGTCAGACAGTCTGATATCAGCAGGTTGCTCCTGAGCAGAGGGGCCCTATATGAAAAGGTTCTGCAGCCAGCAGACGTCTTTTTAACTCTGGGAACAGACAGGAGCCCTCCCTAAATTCTGGAAACAGAGAACATGAGATGGAGTATAAGGTTTAAGCAGATCAGACAGGTATGAAGGAGCAAGTCCATTTAGAACCTTATATGCCATCAAAAGCACCTTAAAGTCTGAACTGATATGAACAGGAAGCCAATGAAGGGAAGCTAAAATCAGTGTAATATGGTCAAATTTTCTGGATTTAGTAACAATTCTAGCTGCAGCATTCTGAACCATTTGAAGACTTTCATCAAGTCTTGATGAAACGAAAGCATGAATTAAGATTTCAGCATCAGTCTTAGACAGAAAAGACAGAATCCTAGCTATGTTACGTAGATGAAAAAAGGCAGTCTCGGTGATATCTTTAATGTGCTGAACAAAGGAGAGGGAAGAATCGAAAGTGACACCCAGATTTTTGACTGTCAGACTATGAGAAATCACAGTTATCAAGAGTTATTGTTAATTGATCAAACTGGTGTCTATGTTGGGTCGGGCCAACGACCAGCATCTCGGTTTTAGGAGCAAAAAGTTATGAGACATCCAGCTTTTCACAGTGTACAAACAGAGCTCTAAATTCGTAATCTGAGAGGAATCATCAGCCTTTATAGGCACATGCAACTGAGTATCATCAGCATAACAATGGAAATTAATTCTGTGGCTGCGAATAATTTGACCAAGAGGTGAAATATAAAGAGAGAAAAGCAGAGGGCCAAGAACAGAGCCCTGGGGTACTCCATGTTTCACAGCAAAGTATGTCGATATAGTGTTATTATAGGAGACGTACTGTGTTCTGTCAGATAAGTAGGACTTTAACCAGCTGAGGGCCAGGCCAGAAACACCGAATTTGTTTTCAAGTCGTTCTAAGAGAATACAATGATCTATAGTATGAAAAGCTGCACTGAGATCCATTAAGAGGAGCACAGAGGTCAAGTCCGAATCCATGGAGACCAGAAGATCATTTACTACTTTAGCTAGCGCTGTCTCAGTGGAGTGACAGGCCCTGAAGGCAGACTAGAACAGTTCAAAATTTGTTAAAGGAGAAGTTAACAGGGACTCAGTGTAATGCTCTGCTGGTTCTGTAGACGCTGGAGAAGAAGTGATTTTAGGTCTAATCTTATCTATTTTATGACTGAAAAATTCTAGAAAGTCATAGGCTGTAACGGGCAAGCAGCTAAGAAACAGCTGCTGCTGAGTGAGTTTAGCTACAGTGTCAAAAAGAAATCTATGATTGTGTTTATTGTTACTGATTAACTGAGAGAAGTAGGCTGCTCTAGCAGTGGAGAGAGCACGCTTGTATTTTAACACAGATTTGTGCCACTGAAAGAGTGCTTCAGATTTTGATTTTTGCCATATGCGCTCCAATCTCCTGCAGGCCTGCTTCAGGGTGTTTCTTCAGTAAACCATGGTGTAGACCTCTTTAACCATCTGGTTTTAGCGGTGAGAGAAGCAACTGAGTCCAAGAGGCTAGGCAGAGCTGTGTTTAATTTACTTGTACAAATTTTGAGGGAGTCAGTTGCTACAGTGAACGGAGCGAGAGCAGCTACAGTTGCTGGACCAATGTGTCATGAGGTAAATACATTTGAGCTAGTAATGTGTGGACAGGCTGGTGTTGCTTCAAACTTGATAAAAAAGTGATCAGATTGCAGAAGTGACGGGAGAGACAGTCAGACTCGATACCTCAGTTCCACGGGATAGGATCAAGTCTAGAGTGATATCAGGGTTGTGTTCTCAAAACTAAGGTACCAAGCGCAAATTACTGGATATATAAAAAGAATGTGACGAACCAGCAGACCCCATGTTGAGCAGCCTCACACCAACAGCATAACTCAGACTCAGTTGGCACTCCTTGAGTTGAAGTAGTAGTTCTCAAAAGTTAAACCCTCAGCTTTACTAGAGGCAAACGCATCAAAAGTGTCCAATCCAGGACCAACAGGATGCAATTTAGGCCATCCACTTCCAAGTGCTTATCCCCAACATCCATCTTAAAATGTACAGCAATTTTCACTAATTGCCGTGAACACTGCTCCAATAACACCTCTGACAGAGCTTTCAAAAATTTCTCCAGAAAACGTGGGGATTTACCTTACCTGCCCGAATGTACACAAACCAAAACTGATGCAGAAAAAAACAGAATTGCTATAAAAACCATCACACTAGTAGCAAGAACTCCCATAACCCATATATCGCCAAAGCACTCGCGCAGCTCCATTCCTCTAATTTCCTAGCCAGAAACTTACTAAACTCCCCCCTTGTCTTCAGGTGCTACTTATCATGGGTATTTAAGCACCACAACCCACAAGCTAAAATCCCCTCAGAAACCCAAAGGGAATCCGCTTCTAAGAACAGCAACTTATAAAGAGCATGCACAGGATCAGAGCTCAATACCTCATAAACATCAGCCTAACTTTGTCACTGTCATACTTGTTTAAAATATCACTAGTAACTTATTTAAGCTTTGCCCTCTCTAAAAATGCTAGTAGAGAGATCTCTGGTCTGTTTTTATGCATCCGCGTCAGCAACAGCCAGAGTCGGAGGAATATTGTTTTTCTCTTGAGAACTCTTCAAGGGAATCCCTTCAAATTTTATTTCAAAGTAGAATTACTTCTTGCATTCAGCTACATTACCATTGTGCAGCAGTTGTGTTTGAGCAATTGTAACAAAGCAATTGCCCTGGTGTGATCAATACTTTTTCTGATTGATTCTGATTGGACTCCTTCCACAGTCCAAACACATGCAGCTTAATTGCAACATAGATGTGAATGTGACCACGAATGGTTTTATTTCTCTGTGTCAGCCTTGGCGACTGGTCCAGGATATATCCCACCTCCTGCCCAATGTCAGCTGAGATAGGCTTCAGTCCCCTTACCCTATAGGATAAGCAGGTATAGCATATGGATGTATAGATGATTGCACTATCAATGATTTTATCTACATGATTTATTCTTCATTCAGCTTGCTGGACTGTGGTTTGACAGCAATCAGCTGTGCTTTTCTGGGCTCAACTCTGAAGTCCAACACCTCCCATCTGAGAGACCTGGACCTGAGTGGAAACGACCTGCAGGATTCAGGAGTGAAGCTGCTGTGTGGTTTTATGGAGAGTCCACACTGTAGACTGAAAATTCTGGGGTCAGTTCACTGTCAGTTATTGTTGTAGATCTTACATCTTTAATCCACAACTGAACCTTATTTATCTGTTGTAACACATTTCACTCTTTCTTCTCTAGACTAAAAATTATTCTTCAGTTTCAGGTCATTTCAGTCAGTTGTCATGAATGTCTGTTCACTTCAATTAAACCTTCAGAACTCACACAGACTCTCAGTCAGAGAACTGTTTTCTAAATACACTGTAGTAAGTTTCCATGTTAGTTGTTAAAATTGAATTTATTTTTATCACAAATATATACAGAAAATCGTCAAAACTGATATTTGTACAAATGAATTGACTTACACTTGATGAAAAATTGTATGTGTGTACAGAGTTAAATTTACTTGTTGAATGTGTTAAGTAGGAAAAAGGCTTAAAGGACTGTTGGCTTCATAAGTTTCACTCCTTTAACTATAAATAGTTTATATTTATATGATTTTGCTGCCGACCATTTTCCAAGGTACTCAATTAACCATCTGTTATTGGGGATTAAAAAATTTTTTTCAGTTTAATCTGTGTTTAGTTTTGAATTTCCTGAGCTGATCTGCAGGATAGAGACCATGGCCAAGCAAGACCTTTTTACAGGATCAGAACTGAATATTTAAAGTTGGATCCATTTCAGCCATAAAGAAAAGTATTGTAGCAAGTTTTTTGTTCAACATGTTTGATTTGATATTTACAATATCTTCTAGTTACAGATTGTACTGAGGTCAGCAGCATATTATGAATTTGTGTCTACATGAGTAGGTGTTACAATGTTGTGGTGACATGTGGATGATATCTGTAGAAGGCTGACATTATGATGATCCACAATAACAAACGGACAAAATCACTCTACTCATTTTAGAGACAATCATTGATTAGGCTGATTGAATTCCTTCCACAGTCCAAACACATGCAGGTTAAGTTCATTGACAACTCTCCACAACATTCTGGCAGACCAGAGAAGCAGCTACAGCCAACGTCTCATCTCACTGTGCTGCAGAACAGAGAGGTTCAGGAGATCCTTTGTCCCCACTGCCATACGGCTGTATAACAACTATAACTATAGCCATATAATGGATGGATGGATGAATGATCGGATTCTTAATTATTTTAGTTACATGTTTTATTCCTATTCAGGTTGATGGACTGCTTGTTGTCAGACATCGGCTGTGCTTCTCTGGTCTCAGCTCTGAAATTCAACCCCTCCCATCTGAGAGAACTGGACCTGAGTGAAAACTACCTGCAGGATTCAGGAGTGAAGGAGCTGTGTGATCTAATGAAGAGTTCAGACTGTAGACTGGAGACTCTGAGGTCAGTAGAGGGTTGGAGTCAGTCCATGCCTCCCAGATGTACAGAGACAGTGGTCCTCATTCATAAAACTGTCATACCACCAAATTTGATCTGAGATTGTTTGTCCTCTTATTTCAAGACTGAATAACTGATCAGTTTCATCTCTGTCACAGAGTCTAACTGAAGCCTGCGAATCACTGGCTCTTATTTCAGAGAAGCATCACATCACATTTTGTAGCCATGTGGTCTTTATACAGACTAGAACCTCTGCTGAAGTCCAGTAATCACATCTGTATATCTGTCAGATATTTTCAGTGACAGCCGCCATGTTTATTTGTCAGGTGACATTTCAGAAGCAGATCAGATGATTATCAACACACAGAGACGCGTCGTTTAAATGTAACATCAGCTGATGGGTAACGAGTAAATCCATCACTAAACTGTTGGTGCAGTAATGAAGGTTCATGACTCTAAGCAGTTAATTTCCGCTGTCTGTTCACTCTGTTTCACTTGTATGAAACAAACTCTGTTTCACTTGTATGAAACAGAGTGAGCAGACTTTTTTTTTTCCTTTTTCCAACAACATTTTTGTAACACAGTCAGTATGAAATACCAAAATACAAAAAATGCATGTTGTCCATTTTTGTGAATTTGTAAATTTGGTAAGGCTAAACCTCCTGATTGTTTTGTTCTTTGCATAGAATCTTCACGAATCCTTGGGGTTTACTATTCCAAATATATTCGTCCAGTGTATTAAAATACTTTTTTGGTATGCAGATTGGGATGCATTGAAATAAATATAAGAATCTAGGTAAGGTATTCATTTTAACTGCATTAATGCATCCAATTAATGAAAACTTTTTATGTAAATGTGTAACCTTGACACCCAAATAGGTCAGGTGACCCATCTTTGCCTTAAATTGAAACGCTTCAAATGAGATATCTCTGGCTTTAGAGTTAATATTGAGTAGTTCGCTCTTGTGCATGTTTAATTTATAACATGAAATGCTGCCAAAGTCTTGAAAAATAGTAAGCTGGGGAAGGGAGTTCATAGGGTCAGAAATGTAAAATAAAAGATATATAATGATACTGTTCTTGAGTGAACAGACTTGATGCTAAAGTCTGCAGGTCTGAGAGCTTCCAGCTCAGTCTGTTCAATCCAATATGTTAACATGAGAGCTGAAAGGTAGCAGGCTATGGTACACAGCTGCTCCACATCTGGTCTGAACAGGATTGAAGTCCTGACTGCTCTTTATACTGGATTTCCTGCATCACTGACTGACAGCTGACGAAGGGAGTCTCTGTAAACTATGATTCATCACCGCTGTTGTCTGTCTTCTTCTCTCAACAGCTGGAAGTGATGATCTTTATACTGCTGAGAGAGTGTGTGTGTGTGTGTGTGTGTATGTGTGTGTGTGTGTGTGTGTGTGTGTCCATCCTGATGATCGAGATGTTAAAGCAGCAGCAGCTAGTGTGTACAGAGGCTCTGACTTGGCCATATTACTGGGAGGTGGAGAGGAGAGCTTCATCCAACCGTGACTGACAGAGGAATCAGAAGAAGTGGCGATGTCTCTCAGTGCTGCAGTCAATTTCTGTTTTGATTTACATGGCGGCTCCATCCTGTGGAACAGTGGAGTACTGAACTTAATTTCTGCATATTTCTAAATAACATTGGAAGACGATAAGAAAAAGCAGCATCAAGCCTTCATGTGTATTTTTACTTCTTTGAATGCCCTGGTTATAAACATTAATATCAGCTGTTTCTCATAACAGATAAATATTTCCTTGCAGCAAACAGAAAGTAGATGGAACCTCAACAAAGTCTGGATCCAATCAAATCTTCACTGAAATTTCTCTCTGACTACAAACAGACACTTCTCTCTGGATGAAGATATTCATCTTACTTTTTGTGGTTTTGTTAGTTTAACAGCGTCTTGTGAACCTAATTTAATTTCTAATTTTCCAGCTTTCATTTATGTGTCACATTCTTTTGACACTTCATATTGTACACCAGTTACTTCTGTCAAGAGTAGTGTTTGCTTGCAATATTTTGGAGCGCCAAATAATTGTAGACAATTTTCTTGAAGATATTCACACATCCAAACGTCTTAGATGCAGGTGTGTTGCAAAGTGTCACTTCAGTCTCGTAAAGAAGAATATCTTATACACTGCTCTTGCTTAGCATCCCGATTTAGTGATCATCCTAACGTTTCCGTCTCTCTAGACCTTCATCAGAAGTATTTTAAACAGGGAGTGTCTTTTAAGTCACTGACATTGATTTGTGTGTCATATGTCATATGTTATATTCCACATATATACATAAGGAAGAAAAATAAATAAATATGCAAAAAATGAGTAAGACATCACAACACATGATCAAATATATTTACAAAATTACAGAAATTACAATCTATCAAATGAAAATTGGCCTTGCAGCTGTCATGAGTCTTTCAAAGTATGTAATTATATGAACTATTAGTATCTTGTGTGCCATAGATATGTCTATAAAGTCTTTAAACTTCTTGGAGCATGACATGCCATGGGATCTCATCATTCAGTCCTTTGGGGGATAGCATTAAATTAAATATCTAGTATACTTCTATTAGGAATTTCATCAATGTTACCACCCCTGTCAGGTAGAGTTACTTTTACAGTGCTCTGGATCCTAAACGATGAGATGTCAGAGTCATTAAAATGTACTGCTATTGGGTATTCTCTATCATTTCTCCTTATGGAGCTTTTGTTTTCACTTACTCTCTGTTTAAATGAACATTATATTTTACCAACATAGGAAAACCCACAGGGACATTTGATCATGTAAATGTGGAACTTGTGATGACATCTTTGATAAAGTACTTTTTCCCACTACGAGGAAGCTTAAACTAATTACCTTCGGTCATTATTGCACTAAGTACATTCTCTGCATTTATAATATCCATTTGGAAGAGGCTTTAACAGGGTCTGTGTACTTTTTTCACAGATATTGTGTTAGCATGTATCAGGATATACTAAAGATTATGTTGTCTTTGATAGACTATTAATGGTGGTTCTTTGAAGTCCATGGCTATTACTGAATCTGATAATATGTGCCAATATTTTTTGATGATTGGGCTCTAGGTTGTATTAAATATGATGGGGGTTGTCCTTTTCTACAGGGGATTATTTTGTTATAATTCATTTCTTGATTTATGTAAGGCCATATGGTATGCTTCCTCCACACAATCAGATCAATAATCCTGTTAGAAACCTTTGTTTCATATCTATCCATTTATCAATAAAGTCCTCTGTGGTGTGATAATTTCATCTGTCTGAAAAACTCACTTTTTGGTAGTGTGGGGTGATAGCTGTTTGCAAGCAGTAAGGTGTTTCGATCTGTGTCTCTTCCGTATAGTGTAGTGCTGTACAGTAATGTACCCAAATGTTTAGGAAATTAACTTTATCAAAAGAATATTCCATGGTGAACTTAATCTTTTTTATCAAGACATGTTGTAAACTTTTGTAGTTCATCCATGTCCCCCTTGAACAGACAAAAGATACTATTTAAATATTTTATCAACAAAGGGATTCTCTGCGGGGTTATATGAATTTTTCCTCTAATAGACCAACATACTGTATAGATTGGCATAACATGGGGTTACAGTACTGCCCATTGCTTAACTATTCACCGGAAAATAGTCCTCAAATTTGAAATAGTTACACCTTAACACAAATTCTGCCTAGAATAAATTCATTTGATGGATTTACAGTTATTTTTTGATTTTTCTTTTCTCTCAAGTAGTGTTTTAATTATAACTCCCATGGTGGGAAATACTTTACATTAAAAGATGCCAATTACAATTTTCCTTCACATTATTTCAGGAATGTTGTTAATGAAGTATATACAATCCCTAATGTGAGATGATAATGATTACATGTGACAACCAATCTACAGTTTGAAATTGGTTCTGAAGGTGAACCAATTGTTCTGATGAGGTTTGGGCTTATGCACTGTAGGTAGGGTGTATATACAGTAAGCCTGGAGAATGTGTTTATAGAAGAACTGTTCTCTAAAGGTACTCTTAGGGTTAAAATATGCATTGTTTGATTCATAGGAGAGGGATTTCTCTCGACCTTCAGATTTTTCTGTCAAATTTTGTGAAAAGAAAAACAAATAAATCTATTCTTGCATCAAATTGTCTGTGGTAGTGGGAAAAAAATGAAAAAGCTTTTCAATAGGGAAATATAGCGACAGTCAATTGTTCATTACTGCATCCTCCTGTTGTAGTTGCACATTATGTTTCTGTGGCCAGTCTCTTGTTGGACTGTGTCCCCTATCTGCAGCGTTTGTTCAATATCGAGAGAGTAAAAAAGACGTGTGACAAGGGATGAAGAGGGTGCAACAATACAACATAGCATAGATCACTCTGATGATAACACAGTGAGGAACAGCAACAAGATCTTCATTGAACTAATCCGTCTCATAGAGACAAGAAGCTCTGATGTGAAGCAGCAGATCAGATCCCAGCAGAAAACTCAAGTGAGTCGAGTTCAAGACCTTCAGGAGAAGCTGGAGCAGGAGATTACTGAGAAGGAAAGACACTGAGCTGAAGCAGTTACAAGCAGTCAGTCTACACAGTTACTCCTCACGGTCAAGACAATCTACAGACTCACCCAACATCTAAATCCATCCTCTGCATTGCTGTAAGGATATGGCAGCATCAGTGTCAAAGTCAGAGATAAAGTGCAGGACATTCTTATTGAGGAATGGACAAAGATCTCACTGATAGAGACAAAACTTGATGTTTTACCTTCACTGGAAGAGTCCAAAACTAGAGTTGAGCTCTTACAATATTTATGTTAAATAACACTGGATCCAAACACAGCACACAGAAAACAGTTATTATCTGAGGGGAACAAAAAAGCAACATATATGAAAAAAGGGACATATTCTATTCACCCAGACAGATTAATGATCTGGTCCCAGGTTCTGAGAAGACGTGATTTTAAAAACATGGAGAGGAGATATGACTTTGTTGGTTTGGACAGCAGGTGGTGCAGCTGCATCTATAATCAGCTGAGACTCAAACATACACCAGTGTTTTTGTCTCATCTGCACTCAGACAGACAGCACACAGGGAGACAAGCAGGGTTCAAACCTGTGACATGGACACAACTAAAATTGAACAACATAAGCATCAAGTTCAGCTGCAAGACATGAGGCTCTGAAATTTTATCAACTCTTGTAATCCAGTTTCCCCTTAAGTAGCTTTAAAGGTTGTGTCAGTGTTATTATCTACCTATATAATAGACTATATATATATATTATATTATATATACTATATATATATAGTTAAATATATTATATATATATAACCACATACTGTTTAACATAAGTTACAGGATATATTTGAAAGCTTGTTCTGGTTTATGCATTCATCTAAAAATTACACAAATTTGGACACACTCATCACCTCAGGATGATTTTTGTTTCTTTGGTCCTGTTTTCTGTATCCACATTAAAAACCAGACTGGAAAAGATTTTGTCAGGCTTATGATTAGTTCTGCATGTGTGTGTTTGTCTCACATAGTGTAAGTGTATGCACATACACTTTAATGTAAAGCACATAAATAGATAAAATTGTCCTGCCTAAGAAAACACAGTGAGACACAAAGCAGAAAGGAGATGTGTGAGGCTGAACAGAGAACCATGGAGTTAATGAGGACAGACACTGGGACAGATAGATTAACACAGGTTTCTCTCAGTGGTCTGGAAAGTATTAAAGTGAAACCTGGTGAATGACTAATAGATATGCTCTGAAGTATTATTATTTACATTATGAGATTGTCCGAACTGTATACATAGTGGGAACAGATTATAACAGGGTTACGACACATTATTTAAACAGACCTCATCAACATTCACTCTCTATTCATGTCATAATTTTCCTCTGTTCCGTGAACCAGAGCTGAAAAAGATTGTCCAAAGTTGAGTTTGGTGAAGATGTAAGGGAAAGATGGAATTAGGCAGGAGCATGGTGCATGAAAAGTAGTAAGTAACTTCAATGGCCTAAAACTTTATTTGATGGACATGGCAGAAAATCAAATCAATGTGACATTCTTTGTAGGATATGATGCACAAATGTTCTGGTATGAAGATGATCATGTGTTTTCTGCAGCAAATGTTCAGATTTTAGTTAACATAGAAATTTTACAGCACTGTGATGTTTTCGTCTTTATTTAGTTTTATGGCACTTGAAGTGACATCTGCTTTAGAAAGGTGCTGAAAACTTTACTTTCTCATTACTGTAACTGAACTTAATTCTCTGCAGAAAATCATGAAGAACTAGAATAGATTTATAAACTGTTCTATGATTCTTAAAAG